CTTCGTCCCCCCCCCCCCCCCCCCCCCCTTAAGACCCCCTTAAGGGGGTGACCCTTAAGCCCCCCCTTGAAGCCCCCCTTAAGCCCCCCTTGAAGCCCCCCTTAAGCCCCCCCTTCGTCGAAGGTCTGGGGCCCAGCCCCCTGAACACCCATTACAGCAAATGCAAATCAACAAACAAGAACCATTAAAAAAAAATTTGACGCGGAAAGCACATTATGATTTTGTCTTTTGCTTGAACTGCAGCGTAAACGATCATGACGCGCCTCAAGCACGTTATAGCACGCCATGCCACTATTAAATGCTCAGAATCGTTCCGTTCTGTGTTTTTGCTGCTTTCAGCTTCTCTGTAATCCGCCTTTGACAGCTCTTATGTGATGTGTGTGCGATACTAACTTCGAGACTCAAAACCTGTTTTTCCATTTTGAAAGTGGGCAACAGGAAAGTTACTCAGCACATTACGAGCAAAAGCCAACTGTAAAGCTCTATCAGAGAGCATGCCAGCGTCCACTGGGAAGATCCAGTTTAAAAGGCAGTTTCTTTCACAGGGTTGGGTGGTCCCGAAGATTTTACAGGCAAACCTAATTGTGTTTCGTGTTTGCGACACTCTCGTCACGGACTTCTTTTGAAGAGTTGGAAACAGACTTTAACTGCAAGGCCGGAAGCCAAAATAGTTGCGATGGTGCACACGTTTTTGAAGTTCCGTCCAGCCCTACAAGCTCTGGCAAGCTTCACCATGCCAGTAAGCGACGGTTTTGCGAATTCTTACAGACCAATGTCTTCGAAGGTTAACCGGAAAGAAAGCGAAAGAAAAGCTTTGCAAAGCGTGTTTAGAAAGCCTAGTTGCAGTTCTTTGTCGCTTTTTTCATAAGAACAAAGTATGAGTAAACCAAGCTACTTTTTTTAAAAACAATTGAAAAAGAAACAACGCCAGTACATCAGATCTGACTTCCCAATGTCCTGATGTCTTGTGACTTTGTGCAACAATGGACAAGACCATACTTGCAGATACGCCACTGTGGAAGTGAGATCAAACTTACATCTGAATGTAGTGCTGTGGTAGAGTTGCAAAGTTGGGTTTTTTGACGCGAAAAGTAAAATTTAAAGGACGGAGCGAACTTAGTTCCAGGTACTTCTGCCGCGGTTTAAAAGCAGTCATCTTGGAATTCGAGCAGTTTGCAGAGTCATCGCCAAGAACATACGCATGTTTCAGGCAAAATGTGGTTCTTTTCTCCAATGCTACTGGAGTCTTGTTGGTTTTTCCGCAGTGTCTTACCAAAGTACAAGTTTACTGCCTTGATGTTCTCCAGAAACGTGATCATCCAGACACATCGCCAGCTTCAACGAACCTCGCAGCAAGAACGCACCGCTTAAGGTCTTCGAAAGCTAGTCATGGCCGTGTCCAATCCTGAGTAAAAGTGAACTTGGATTCTTCTTGGACTGTCCTGCCATCTTTGATCCAATGCACGCCTTGTACAAAGAGCCGTAGGACTGTACTCATAGCCTTTACACGCCTAGGAACGTAGAAAAGCTGACGGTCGAAGACCAGTTGCAGCTACGTACTCTTGGATTCAACTTCTAAACAGTCATCCCCGAGGCCACGTCTCACTAAACTTCCTAAAGGGGGGTGTTATCATTTCCCGTACAGTCCTTGTATTACAAGATGCTAGTGTACATGCTAGGAGAGCTAGTGAAGACGATGGCACGCACTCATTTGGCTCAAAGTAAACAGTACGACCGCACGCTGTATGCCTTGTTGTAACTGTTTGTTGCGGGTTACCCCTCAAACAACTATAACGCCCAAAGCGAACAGAACAACAAAATTAGAACACGAGGCAGCATGCCGGCACTCTCTCAAACAACACAGGTTTGAGAAGTCTGATCAGCAATCTCATAGTTTGATATGTCACATCCGTTCACACTGGGCACTCTTTTCGATGATGCCAACAGCCCAGGGAGCTCGTCCAAAGTAGGTGCACGTTTGCCATGAAATTATTGACACTGCAATCACGGCATGCGCGGCTTCAGGAACAAGGCCATGAGCGAACGACAACGACACATCATTGGCAGCCACAGGGCCACAGGTTGCAAAATTGTATGTTCCATATTGTCAGAACATCTTATCATCAGGTAAATTCGCCGTCAGAGTTCCAACTGCATTGTAATATATGTTTCCGCAAATGTGCCACATGTTTGAAACATCTGTGCAAACGGAAGCTCATTCTAAATTACCAAAGCAAGATTTCTGAAGAAAAGAATAGAATGAATAGAATGAATAAAAAAGAACTCCCAACCTGTAAACAACCTTTATTGTTTGCAAGGACACAGGGACACTGAGATAATGCAGGCCCCATGAAGAGCCCCAGGCCAAGGGATACCTTTACAAGCTTGCGCAAGCTTTGTGTGCTGGAGCGCTTGCTTCCTGAAATCGCCGACTCGTGTTGCTTGCCGTTTCTTAGCAGTCTCAGTCTAATTAGCACAGGAACCCGACAGAGGAACCTCGTGAAAGCGCACTCCCAGTCCTTACTCGGTCACCTTGCGCCAACTCCAACAGCCACGCCACCCCGCAAACTCCAAGCAGATCAGATCCTTATCGTGGTCTGTCCACTCAAAGCTATGTTACCTGCGGCGGGCGTCGGAGCTGTTGTGGCGTGGGTGGCCCAGGCTGAGCTAGAGATGATCGTGTTTGGCTTTGTGCGTTGCCGAGGAATGCAAGAAACTTCCCCGGAAGGGTGGACGGCGCTGCCTCGGCCTCTCGCTTCGGCTCCTTAGGAGGTTTGCTGTTGGCCTCTGAGTCTGCGCTGGGCCCAGGTCGTTCTCGCAGCGGGCTCGCTTCGAGGAGGCGCCCCATGTCTCGCGGAACCTGGCGGATAGGTGATGTGCCCTCCTGCAACATCCTGTCATGAGGACGGCTCTTCGGAGACGACCTCGGAGGCGTGAGCTTGGTGTCACCTCTTCTTCGCACCTCTTGTCGTATTTCTTGAATCTCAAGATGCCGAGGACGAAGGTGGGCTGTGGGCTTACCTCCAAAGCGAGGATCTCGCGGCCGCGGCGAGCGCTGCGGCGAGCGCCTCGAAGGTGCGATGGCGCTCGGCATCGCGAGCTGACATTCCGGGCTTTTGGCGTTGTTGTTTGCATGCAGTACTGCAGGCCAAGAGGCCCCGTGCCCGCGAGTGGGCCCACGAGGATAGCTGGGATGTTTCCGGGTCGCTGCCTTGGGACTGTTGTGTCTGCGAGCTCTCTGCCCAGCAACACTTTCTTCCCCTCAGGTTCCAAGCGGAGGTTCCTGATCCCGCCCTGCGATTTCCTTTCGAGCTGGATCCGTGGCCCTGGCCAATTAATGCCACCGAAATAGTGTTTTGTTTCGGATCTGCACTTGCAAGCTTCTTGGAGGTTTCAGAAGCGTGCCGTCCGCAGGGTGGAGAGGAGCGAGACGCGAGCTTGGTACTGCCCGCATGCAGCATCCATCAGGCTCCTGCAGACTGGCTTGAAGGAATCTCACTATGCCAGCGTACATCCCCAAACTGCCAAACTACGATAGAGCACCACGACAATCATGACGACCACCACGATCAAGACAATCACGACCACCAGGGCCCCCAGGGCCACCAGGGCCACCAGGATCACTAGGACTCAGGACGACCACGACGACCACTATGATCAGGTCCACCAGGACAACCACGACGACGACCACCACCACTGGGACCACCAGGACGACCGGGACGACCGGGGCGACCACCGCCACCACCACGACCACGACCATGTGTGCCACACTGTTTGGGACCAGTTCCAGTTTGCTTTGCTCGCCGGGTGCCTGGCGTAACATATCCGCAGAAGCCAATGTCGCGGGCCGAGGCATGTCATGGTGGCAGCGCACACTTCTGCTGGCAAAACGGCTTGGGGCTCGGAGGACTCAGAGGATCTCAAAGGATGCTTTTTGGATCAGTTGAGCCGAGCTCTGGCACACCGTCCAACCTGCAGTTCTGTCAGGTCGTGGCAGAGTATGCGGTGGCGCATGCGCTGCGCTTGGGCATGCGGACCATCTATACATCTCCGATCAAGGTGGGAGCAGGATGCACACTGCACCCGCTTAGAGGGAGTCCCGTGTCGCCAGGCACTGTCCAACCAAAAGTTTCAGGAGCACGGGCCCCAAGGCACCAGGCTCCGGCAGTTCTCTGCCTTGGAGTTGCCGCCGGACAGGTTCACGCGGCGCTTCGAGGGCCTGGGCTCCGTGGGCATCGCCCGGTGCCCGGCGTAGGGTGTGAGTAGCCACGGTGCTGCGGGGCTGCGGGTCTGGGACGCCAGGTCACAGGCGACGTGACGGTGAACCCGGAGGCCAGAGCGGGCAGGGGAGCCGACACCCCTTGGACCCTTTGCCCTTTTGCAATATCCGGCGGAAAGTAGCAGCCCGGCTAAGCTTTAGGGTTTTGCTTCGGAGGCGAGCTGCGTCATCATGACGACGGAGATTCTTCGTGCTAGACTCGGCTCGGGAACGCATAGGTGCAAGTTCGACCTTAGCTGAGTGGTGCCCTGAAGTCCACAGCTGCAGGCTACCAAGGTTCCGGAAGTAGACGAAGTTCACCCTAAACCCCAAACCCCGAAGCTCGATAGAATGGAGCTTTGAACCTTGGCGCGTGCGTCCGAGGATCGATGCTGTATCGAGGCGACAAAGGCCTGAACCAGGCTCCCCGGACTCTTGAGCGTTTCAGTTTTTGGGTGCTCGCCACTTACGGGCTAAGGTGGGGGTATGGTTTTGTCATGTCTCACAGCCCAGAAGTCACCACCGAAGCGCGTCCGGGCAGGGTTCGTGGTACTCCGAAGCATAGGGCATTAGGGCTTGATTCTGGATCCAGCTGGGGCAGGTCAAGTGGGTCATCTTCGACGAGGCCGGGCTTGCACGCCCCCTTCTTCCCTGTGCATGGCGGCTCTGGATGCATCACTAACCGTCAGAATCATTGGAGGCTTGCATGATGGTTTGCAGCACATGACGACTGAGAGGTTGCCTGACTTGGGAAGTCGCATTTCTTTAGCCCGCAGAAAGGAAGGGGGGCTCAAGCTTGCAACGTCTGCCGGCAAAATGTCATCTCTTTACATGCCATGTAGCCCTGTGCAAAGAGATCGCCACTCACCTGTTACGTTCTCTTGTCTAAGGATGGTAGATAGTGACCATGATAACGATAATGATATAGCATGCCGCGTAATCGTATGGAGCAGCAGTTTTCAGATCCGTTTTTCGAGCCTGGTGGTATAGCGCCCGAGAAAGCCATGCCGTGTCGCTGCCATCGGGTCTTTGTGGATCCATCTGGGACCCCAGGGATCTGAAAAAAGGCAAGCCCCAGGAGCCGCAGCAATCTCGGGCTGATCAGAGCGGGATTTTCTCAAAGCCTCCCGGAATCTTCGGAGTTGTGGCCCTGCGGCAGCTCGTGAAGAGAGGCATTCGGAGGTGGTGTGGTAGCTCTTCCGAGAGGAGGAACGCCCGAAAGGCACTTCGACAGCAGATCGAGAGCCGTTTCTCTCCCTCGCAGATCCCCGGTGACATGTACCTACGCTCATGGACGCCGGGCCGAGGGGTGGGTCGGCGTAGACCGAATCCTGCGGTATGGGGGTTTCCGAAAATAGGGGACCCGAATATAGTACCCTATATAGGAGGATCCTTATTATAAGGACCCCAAAACAAGGTACCCCTTATTTTCGGAAACTCCCGTACGTGCAGTGAGTGCGCAGTGTGGAGCTCCGGGTTCCGTTTCGTCCTGCTGCGCTCGCTGCGGAGCTCCCAGACCGTGCGGCGCCCAGAACTCCAGTTACAGTGGGCTGTGGTTGAAGTCGTAGGACTCTTCGTGCATTTTTATAAGCTCTGCATCCTGAGAGACACTTGCAGGTTTTGATGGGTGTAGGTAGGGATGCCTCTTTCCGTCAAATCTTGTTTGCAGAGTGATGTATGATGCATGATGTGAAATATTGCGATGTGAACGTGGGAAAGCTTGGCTCCGACCGAAATGCACTTTACCTTCTCCATTTCGCCTTTCCTTTGATGGGAACTCTTTGGTGGCCGCGGCTGCCCGCGCTTCTTCTTCTGGCTGCCAAAGGCACCTCGGCAGATTGCAGGGCTCGCGGGGCTTCGTTGCTGCAACTCGGAAACCTTCCTGATCACAGCCCTTGCTATGACGTGCAGGGCTTCAGCTGCGGAGCCGAGAGAGCTGAAGTCGGCTCGGGCTCTTTGGTGGAAGTAGCTCCGCAGACGTGCCCCCTGTGTCCGAAAAGCGGTTCCGCATCTGCAGTCCTTTATGGGATCGAAAGAAGCGATGGACTCGGGGAGCGCGTGTATCAACTCCTGACGTACTTCTCGACGGCAGCCTTATACAACATGACCTTCGGTGGGTTTCTGTTCAATGAATCCCTTGACGGAGGACACAAGATGAACTCGTCGGTCCTGGTTCATAGCCTGTCCACGTACATCGGAAGCAATTATTCCAGCTTGCGAATCAGCGCCCAACGACCCGCTTTCGACCATTGCTGGCACTGCCTGGAGGATCCTTCCACCCCTCCGCCTGCTGCACGGCCAGGGCAGTCGATTCTCGCTTGGTTGGGATGCAAGCCAATGCCTGAGACGGGCGTTTTTGAGCCTCTGAACGCACGATTTCTCAAGGCGCTCAGGCAGTCATCCCAACTCCCGAGTCACCCGGTGCCGCATTTTGCTTCGATGGGGGCGACCCTCCGTGTTGCAGTTCATCTCCGGCGCGGAGATATCATGAAAACTACCTTGGGTCACGGTGTGAATCGCTTTATTCCCGACGCATTTTATTTGAAGTTCTTGAGACTGCTGAAGCCTATAGTTGCACCCGCGACGATTCACGTGTTCTCGGCTACAGAAGGCAAGTTCACCGATGCCGACTTCGATGAGTACCGGCAACTCGGAGCTGAGGTGCACCTGGACGGGGAGGCCGTGGAGGACTGGGCTCACATGGCTCAGGCCGATGTTCTGGTCGTGGCTCCCAGTGGCTTCTCCTGGGTTGCTGGCATCCTGAACACGAAGTGTGTGCTGGGCTTTGAGTCCTATCCTTATGCATACCATCCTAACTGGATCAAGCTGAACCAGCATTTCAGCAATTTGGATGAGCTTCGCAGATGTCTTCTCAAACTAGGCCCGTCATGACTTGAAGCCTGAAGCCGTGCAAGAAAAGGTGCCTGTCATCCCTGAACAATGCAGCTGCAAAGTTTATGTACTTCTGCAGGCAGAATGTCCGAGCGAAGGCTCTCAGCTAGAGCTAGATCATTCGGAACTCCTTCAAGGGGGAGCTCGGGTCAGCGCGGTCACTGTGATCGGCTGCATCGACTTGCTTAGTTGTTGCTGAAGCTTTTTGTTCTGCTGCGTTGCGTGGCTCAAGAACGGTAGATTCCCATCCATCGTTGGAAGGATCTCCTGCCGTTGCCTCTGCCGTTTTTGCTTTGACGGACATTAGTTCTGCCTCAGGAGCCTTCGCGATGTTCAAAAAGCGGGAGAGGCCGAAGGTGGCGCGAAACAGTCGAATTCGAAGCCCTGCACTTGAACATGGAAGCTTCTTCCCGGCTTCCCTTAGAGGTGGAGACTGGTATGTTGTTTGGATTTGTGTGTTGTTTGGACCAGGCCACCCGGACGAAGGAAGCGGAGGAGCCAGTGGAGGAGAGCTCTGCGGTGCCTCTGGCCAGCAAGAGGCCTGCCTGGCAGGGGCTTGGCCGTAGCACGTGGCCCCCGCTTCGAAGCTTCGGTGCTTCCTGTCCTGGTGAGATCTGGTGAGGCAGAAGCGGAGTGGTGCCATCAGCTCGACGACTGGCGAAGGTCTCCTGGCTGCAAACGGGGGGGAGATTGAAAGCGCGGATCGCTTTTGCCCTGCCGAGTTTGGGTTTCTGCTGAGGCGGCAGCATTGCTGCCTCCACACGCAAAGAGCCGATGTCAGAAGCGGCTCCTTGTCAAGAGATAGTACTGAACGTTTTGGGACAAGGCTGAATGCTGCAACGGTGCACGCACGAGTGTGGCCGTGGAAACTGTCATAGAGACGCATGGACACTTTTCCTGCGCAAGGCGCGAATAGCAGACCGGCAGCAAGATGCAGTGTTCTCCGGCTTCAAGGCACGCAGAATCGTGTGGGCTTCCTGCCACGGAATCTCGGGCTTCGTGGCGAGAGGCGAGTGGGTCCACGGAGAACACGTCCCTAGCTCAGCCCTGCCCTACACAGAACTGTAACCCCTCCAAGAAGCGGAGAAGGCAGAGCACGGCTTCAGGCCCTCCTCCGATGCAGTCCGACGACTGGAGGTGGACACGGACGTCAGTCAGGGCCTTAAGTGCCAAAAAAAGGGACGTCCTCTCCTCGATCTTTGTCGGCTTCGTTTGCGTCTCTGAGGCCAGGACAACAGGGCTATCCTGGAGCGGAACGAGAAGATTAACGCGGGCCTCAAAGACGGCTCCCTAGAGAAGGGCGTCTACAGAGGCTTGAAGGGCTACAAGCCGCTCGGCTCTTCGAGAGCTTCGAGAGCTTGGAGCCGGAGTCAGGGAGGGGTTTGGGTTTGGGGTTTAGGGCCGTTTAGGGTTTGGGATTTAGGTCATGTACAGCATATCGTAGCAGATCGTAGCAAATCGCAGCCCAGGCAGTATGCCAACAGAAGCGAGCACGCCATCGCCAACTCCAAGTACACCGGTCTTCTAGGACCTTCGCATTGCTCTCCTTCGGGTATCCGGCACACTGCCTGGCTCGTATCTCGTTCAAGCGGTGCTGGTGCGTTTGGCATCAGGTAGTGTCTCTTTGCCCTTTCGTCATCCTACGCTGCAGCGTTTTCATGGTACGGCGAGCAAGCGCGCATTCTCGTGAGGACCTCTTCGCAGCAGCCTGAGCAACGTGCGCAGCACCTTGCGGATCGAGTACATCGGCACCAGCGGTGAAGGCACAGCTCCCGGTCTTCCCTGGCCTCGGCAGAGTTTCGAGTTTGCGGTCACAGAGCCCCTGTAAGGTGGTATCTGCAAAGACTACAAGGAGACTGGCTACTGTGGCTTCGGCGACTCCTGCAAGTTTGCGCACGATCGGCTTCTGGGCTTCAGAGTCCGCGTTCAGGAAGAGAAGGGTAAAGTCGGCACGCGACGCCATCCCTTATGCCACATTGAGATTCAGGATCTGATATAGATCTGGCAAGGGGCAGCTTATTAGTGATTTTTCCTTGGTGACTGGCAGATTCCTGAGCCCAGTTAGACAAGGATGGCCGTGGATTGTGCTTCTTGTCATCTTCCTAGGTTGACTGTAGCAACCGATTCACCAGGGTGGCGCAAGCAGTCGAGTCAGTTCTTCGCCGAAGTAGGTCGTCGTGGTGGTTTCCAGTATAGTCAGTGCCATGTCTTCGCAGATCAAAACCCTAAACCCTAAACCCTAAAGTTCCGGCAGCTTTTACTGAGGACGGTCTGATGTTGCGTGGCTTCTGTCCGGTTCTTGTCGGCGCAGTTCAGGTCTGATTACAAGCCGAGCTACATCCTGGAGCAGGAGTGGGAGGCCAAGCAGAAGGCCAGATATCAGCCCTTCTACTCTGATGGGAAGTAGCTCGTATATATATATATATACCTATAATATAGTAATATATTATATGTTATATACTATTTTTTAAATATTATATTATTGTACATATCCTTGTCAGACAGGGGTTGGTTTCTTGAATCTCGCAAGGCAATCGAAGAGAAGAGGCGGAAGAGGTGGGAAAAGAAGATGGCGAGGCCTCGGTGCAGCTCGCGATTTGAAAAGAGCGCTTCCGAAAAAATGGTAGTAGACTATTTAAGAGTATAGTCGTATAGTATACCACGCTGTAGCATAGTACCGGACTTTATGGTTTCATGATACAGTATATCATACGCTTCGCAGAGCCCTGCTTACACCCTCATGAAAGCCTCAAGCCTTCGTCCCTTGATTCTCCGATTCCCCGAGTCCAGCTTCGGCAGAATGTGTTGTTCCTCATAGCAGCACGACGGCGCAGGGGGGGTGAGATTTTAGGCAGACACGCGGTGCGGATGGGCATTGATTTGGCCGAGGTGGACCTCAACCAGCAAACACCACTGTTTTACGCAGCGGCTTATGGAAATCTGACAATTGTCAGGGTTTTTGCTGAGTCTGGGATTCCAAGTCATCTGGCGTGACAGCTGGAGGGAAACTGCCCAATTCTCACGTGGATATGGTGAACGTCCTCATCGAACATGGTGCCTCAGTGCTGGTCAAATCTAACCGAAGTAACCAGACTCCACGGGACCTCTTGAAAGCCCAGAGCCGGCACGTGAATGGCAGAAGGAAGATAGTATGCACGAGCCCATCATAGACAAGTGTCAGCACAGTATTGTGGTGGAAAATGAGGATTACTGGGTGTGCGAGTCTGTGAAGGACTGCGCCAAGCGCTTGCGACGTTCAGAAAGAGAGTTTGCAGTGGACCACGCCAACCTGCATTCAGAAATGCCTTGGTACGAAACCCTCACTACAAGGTAAACCTGATTGTATTGGAGACCAGCGAGAAGGCGCGAAGGCGCTACACGAAAGCTGGCTTCAAGGTTTCTGCATCGGCCCCATCCCGCTTCCCACCATGCAGTTGCCGTGATGACGAATGTCAGCATGCAAAGATCAAATGGCTCAGCGTGCAAAAATGCACTTGTTGACAGAACTGTGTCCTAGTCACCGGACCACTGCAGCATGCGAAGAAACAGGCCGTTTGCTTCATATGGCTCTGGTCGAGCATGTTTTCTTCATGCCACGAAGGGCACTAGCACAATAGTCACTGTAAGCCGATCTGGGATGTCTGCACCCAGCCCAAAGTCACAGCTAAGTTGCTCAAAGGCCTGCTGCACTTCATGCTTTTGCCTGATTACTGGCTTTTCAAATGCGTCAAGGGGGCTTTTAGCCTATGCAAAGCTTTGTGCATCTGTGAACCCTAAGCTCTGAGCGTGTCAGAGGCGGAAGCAGGCGGAGGAAGAGGGCCGAGAGGTGGAGTCGGATGACGACTCCTCGGAGCCTTGTCGGAACGATGTGGCGTGCACTTGGGGTGCAGGATTTTGGGCTTGGGGTTTGGGTTCAGGGCTTCAGGGTTTGGTAAGCTTCAAGGTTTAGTACGAGATCTGGGTTTGGGGTTTCGGGTATCGGATTTTGCTTTGGAGCTTGCCTTGAACCATTAACCCTAAACCCTGAAATCCGCGTCCCGGATCTCAAAGCCTGAACCTCGCCTTCAAACTCGGATGCCAAATTTGAAGCTTACTGTTGAACTGGCCCTCGGCCCTCGATGCTTACCCTGATTTGAACGTTTCAAATCCCAAAACCTCTACATCCAAGCTCTTTGGGGCTTAGGTTTACAATAAGGATTATGAACCCGAACATATTATTAAGTTTCTGCAGTTCAGTACGGCATATTGCCAACCCTTAAGCCCTTGCATCCCCTGTGCTCGTTGTGGTGGAACTGAGATGACGAGCGATGCGACGGACGATGAGGAGGAGCTACCCACAGAGTGTTTTGAGTGTGGCGCCGCCTGTCGGCAGCTTCGTGCGGTTTTAGGGAAATATGGGAGTTTCCGGAAACAAAGGAGTACCTGAATTTGGGGGTCCTTATAATAAGGATCCTACTATTTAGGGTCCCCTATTGTCGGAAACCCCCATATCGACGAATCTGAGATGGAGGAAGTTTCAATGTGGTGCAGGGGCCCCGCAGCTCAGGAATCCTGGCAGCGGTGCAAAAGCATTCCCGTCCAAACTGTCTGTGGCCACTACTTCTGTGAGGTGGGATGCTAGACTTTGGATCGAGATGACCTGCAATGTGGTGCCGGGGAATCGGGCTTGAGGTTTGCTTTGCATTGCTGGCAGGATTGCGCGATGGCGGCATTCGCGAAGTCCGACAAATGCATCAGGCCCTCTGACTGTTGATTTTCTATCGACCCTGAACCCTGAACCCCAAATCTTAAATCTGGTTCAGGTGTGGGGCGAAGACCAACGGCATCTTCAACTCCGTGCCTTGACAGAGAGGGCACTGGGACGCCGTGGGAGCCTCCCTGTTCTTGGGCGGAGCCAAGGCGGACTCGCTCCAAGAGAAGCTGAAGGCTCCACGGCCGTAGGGTTCAGGGTCGAGGGTCTATAAATACAAAGAGATATGCATCGAAAGATGTTTAGGACACGATGGATGCACGTTTCAAGCTCCCGCCTTTCGGAGAGTGTTCCATCCTTCTCAGGTTTAGGCCTCGGGTGCTGTGCGTGTCGGGAGTCAGGCGAAGAAGGAACGCCGAGCGGAGCGGAAGCGAATGAAAGCCACGAAGAGGAGGGAGGCCCGGGCCCCGGCCCCGTGTGACATTTCGAACTTGAGCGGTCTCTGCACATTACTCTCAGAATCTTGTTCCAACAGCCACCGGCAGGCTCAGAACACCTTCGGGGTGAATGTGGAAGGAGGCAACCTTGTCTGACCTTCGCCTCCCGTGTGCCGTGTCCTCGTTGTGGTGCTCGAAGCTAATGGCTGTGCGCGCGGGCTCGCGGCAAAAGAGGTGCTGACTGCAGCTAAAAGTGCTTGGCAGTCGGGCCTCACCCAGGCTTAGCGTGATGCGTGCAGGTAACATGAGCTGCCCGCATCACTTGTACAAAGTTCTCCCGACGCGTCTCTTAAGCCGTTAGGGAAAAGGTCTGTTGTCGCTGCTGGAATCATACTCATGTGGATCTCATCAAGCAAGATGTGCGATATTACACTTCGAAGGACTTTGGATCCAGGCTCAACATATAACAAGCAAGCTAGGTATCTGGTCAACTGCTCAACCCTCAAACCTGAGAGCTCAACGCCGTAAGCTCTAAGGCTAGAATCTAGAAGCCCCCTCATATTTCAATCCCTGAAAGCACCAAGCTATCCTTTCCCTGCCTGACTCCCTCTTTTCATCCCTCACTCTCTACCTCCATCCCTCCCTCCCTCTTACACGAGATACAGAGCACAAAGTATGAGTCCATGATCCAGAGTAATAGAAAAAGCCTATGTGCATATACACATACTACAAGTAATCACCACTGGAAGTAGTTCACTTACGTAAACAAAAATATCAACGACACATGACACACACACATAGCTTCATGTTTGAGTCGATTCTAGTTTACTTTGAATGGTTCCAGGGTTATCATACTATACTGTAATATGGAATGATATAACATAATATAATACATTGGCCCACCTTCTGCATCGACAAACCTGCATTTGGGGCTGCTCTACCAGTGTCATGTTGTGATATGTTATTTTTGTTTTATATATTTTGTCACATGTCAGATAGCACACACAGTTTACAGATACATGGTTTGCAGATACAGACATAGATATGAAAATGGCGATAGATATAGATATGCGTATAGATACAGACCTAGATATAGTGATAGACATGGACATGCATGTGTACGTGTGCACGTATGGTACACACGTTTTTATGCAGGTACGTACGTAGACATGCAGGCAGGTTTTCATGTCGCCCCTGTTGTGGGAGCTGGCGGAGTCGCTTCCCAGGTCGAGGTAGCCGGGGGCTACGCTCGAATCTGCCACCTGAAGTTGCGCGCGACCCTTTATGGCACGAGGCGGGGTCCGAGAAGATTCACCGAAGATCACCGAAGGGCTGTAGGCGACAGGGAGTTTTTGGAGCTTTTGGTCATAGTGACAGGCAGGATTTTTCATGTTTGCGGTTTAGGCCTTCAGAATATTCAAAACACCCTCCAGGATTTGGGTTTAAGTTATTTAAGGATTTTGGGGCCTAGGGGTTTTTGGCGGTTGCGACTACCTCCATGAAGGATTGCGGCAGCCCGTCCTGTCAAGGCCGGCATCAGAAGAACGGGCTGAAGCAGACGTGGAATCCGCTACCCTGAGATGCCCGTTGTGTATTCTCGTCTGCATGGCTGGTGCTCTGATGTTCGAGGGGCGCACCGAAGGCGATGTCTGACTGTGGACAGTGACAGTGCCCTGCTGGTCAAAGCAGCAACGGATCCAAGCAGCTAGTTTGCCACGGTTTTCGGGAAAGCCATGATGGCAAAGTCTGGAATTGTGAAGCCATCAAGACATTGAAGGTCGCTTGACGCAAGTCGCAGCCGATAACGTGCCGCAGCGCTAGAGTCGTATTGCAGGGATATCGTTTTGTGCCATGGCTTACAGAGCTTCAGCGGAGCCCACTCGCTGTCTTTGGCCGGGCACTGTTTGTCTGCACGGAGAATTCGATGTGCTGTCCACTTAAAACGGACTATGGGATACTTGTAGTAGAGCTTCGGACAAGATGCATGAGCTTCCTGCATGAGAAAGAACACCTCTGCCTTTCTGCACCTGCTGCTGTAGTCTGCTATATCCAAGCTTCATCATGATGCTCCTGTGAGCTCGTGGAGCTCTTTTGCGAGGAACTATCTGGATGCTAGCGCTAGCTGATCCTGCCCAACCACACGCGTCATGGTGTTTTATCTGCTGCATTTTGCACTGCTCTGCCTTGTCTTGTCTCCGCGCTGCGGCGCAGGTGCACTACGTCAATGACGCTGATCGCGGGGTGGTGTGGGAAGAGGTGATCATCCTACTGCCACCGGAGGCGATGCTGCGAGCTGCTGAGATCATCTCTTCACGCATCTCCTGACACCAGGTGTCTATTGTGATGCTCTCAGTCTGGGCCTCTGTGCTTCAAGAACCACCACAGGGTGTGCCCGAGCTTGCATGGAGGCCACGGTTCCGAACTACCGGGACTTTGCCGGCTGGGTCGGCAGGACGAAGAAGAGTCCTGTGTGCGCCTGGGTGCGAGAGCATGCTGAAGTATGCAGAAGTTATGAACTATTCTTAAAGGGGACCTTACTGTAACCTGAGACGCTGCAGCCTGTAGGCATAAGTTTGCAAGTGTGGCAGGTACACTGTACATACAACTTATCGGCCAACCACACTGCGCCGAGGTCTCAGCAATTTTCAGTATTTTCTTGGTGTTCGTTGTTGCCAACATTATGGCTAGCTGTCACAATCAAGACCATCATGTTACTCATGATGTGCATGATGATGGTAATGTTCTCATGTCCGCATTGGTATTGGCTTTAGTGTGTGAGCGTCCCGTGGTTTAGCGGTGCTGTACCTTTTGCAAGAATGCATAAGTGGGGTCTATCAGTATTGGCATTCTGTCAGGAGGTGCTTGGGTCGTGACTGTTGGCTTTTATCCTGCGTGAGATCGTAGTTGGTGAGATGTCTAAGGACACTTTCTCAGCTTCCGCGGTCATGTCCTTCCCTTGATGAATGATGAGGGGTCGAAGGCTCAGGCAGCATCGCCGGTGCGGGTTAGCTGCGATCCAGATTTCTACATCTCTGCCCTCCTTGTCCAGCTGACTTCGCCAGCATCAGCAGCTTCCCATGCAGCACTTGGGCTTTGCAGCAGCCCTGTCGGTGTGGAGAAAATGCGCGGCCCGCAGCCATATTGGCTGGAGCATCATCATAGCGTCAGCAGAGTCAGTCTGCAGCACTCCCCGAAACCTATGTGCTACTCAAGATTCGAGCCACCTTCTAGTCGTGAGTGCTTTGACATCCGAGTTGTTTGCTGGTGTTGGCCACAGCCATGGAGGCCGGGTGGATTAGGAAACTCACGCATGTCATTTCCGGGCTCCTCCCTCGCCTCAGGGTAAGATTGAGACCCGGGTCATCGACGGAAAGGCCGTCTCCGCGGAAGCGGGGCCCTCGGAGCAACGCAGAGACCGCCAGGGCCAATGGGGGAGTATATATATATATATATATATAGATAGATAGATAGACAGATAGATAGATAGATAGATAGATAGATAGACAATATAATATAATATAGTATAATATAGTATAATATAGTATAATATAGTATAATATAGTATAATGTAGTACAATATAGTATAGTATAGATATATGGTATAATCTAGTATAATATAATTTAGTATAGTATAATATAGTATAATCTAGAAAAAAATATTATATTATATTAGAACTCTGAGCCTCAGGTCCGCGCCGAGGTGAAGGCCTTGACCGCCTCCCGGATGCGAGAGTCAGGGTTTCAGGCTAAAATGTGTTTTGGGTTTTAGGGTTTAGGG